TTAGAAGTTGATTTTAAAATGCAAAGTATTTAACTTTTAAATAAAGCTATATAAACACTTGCATTTTTACAACACTATATAAGTGTGTCCCCATCAGGTAATGAAAAGTTCGACACAAATGCCTTGTCCAAATACCCACACTTGCGGTCTTTGCACTTGACCACTTGACTACTTCTATGGCGTATTTCCTGTATTTGATCCAAGTGTTCAAGTGAGCATGAAGACCACAAGTGTGTGTAGAACTTGTCATTACCTGATGGGCAGTGTTGGGCAAGTTACTTCCAAAATGTAATACATTATATATTACTAGTTACTGTCTTTTGAAAGTAATTAGTTACATTACAATATTACTGTCTCTGAATTGTAATGCATTACACTACTTTTGAGTTACTTTTGAGTTACTTTCATCCAAAATATCCACATAAGTATTGTAAAATGCCAAAATGTAGTTTATTGCTGTTCATACTACATTCAGTGGAGTGTAATGTGGTAGGTCTATATAGCATAAAATATATGAAATCATATTGCAAATGTTGTACAAAATAAATATCACCACTACTCATCTTTGCACCAAAAAACATGCAACTCTTTGTTTTACTACCAAATTATATGTAATATCTAATTATTATTAATATTTCACATACATTGGAAAGGTTTCCGTGACCTCTCACCAGATCTCGGCAAAAATTCTCAAAAAATTTTTCCACAGCATGATGCATGATGGGATACCCTAAGCCTCGAATACTGCTCCGGAGCGGTATTCGAGATAGTGTGGATTTAGTGTTAAGGGCACTGCGCTTTGGCGTTTTTAAGATCTGGGACAGTATTGCGCACTTACTTCCTGCCGCGCGCACGTGCTCTCAAGTGGCCAAGACCGCAAGTGTGGGTATTTGGACAAGGCAACACTTGTGGTCTTCATGCTCACTTGAACACTTGGGCCAAATACAGGAAATACGTCATATAAGTAGTCAAGTGCAAAGACCGCAAGTGTGGGTATTTGGACAAGGCATTAGGTGCGTTCGACTTGAAGCACGGCAACAGAACTAATAAAGTGGGGCAATATATGCTTTCATCAGTGTTTTATGATAAACGTGACTCAATATAACAATGCAACTACAGTATAAAAGCTTTTACTGTTCTAAAAACACAGATTTGTGGCTATTATTGGAATTGAAAAGGTTAGAATAAACCCGAAACACACGTGATAGTTGTCATGCGGTGAATCTGGCCAATAGTGAAATGGCTGTGTCGACATCAGCGCTCCTGCAGTCGCTCTGAAAAAGCTGCGCCAGCTGAGTCAGCCGGCTGCTCTCGAAACGCTCTCGCGGTACTTTGATGCCACACGTGACAGTGACGTGGCGTCGGCGCCGGTTCAAGTCGGACAAAATTTCTAACCGGCATGCACTGCTTCAAGTCAGCCGCCGATCGGTTTGCGCGGCGCCGCATGAAGTCGAACGCACCTATTGATTTGTAGAGGTACTATAGCACAATTCTTAAACCACCCCAGACCTCACTCATTTTTTAAACCCTGGCTACGGCCATGAATACGATCTTCAATTCCTGCGCTAATGGGTATCACCAATATCATCAGTGGTTAGAGAATTTAGTCACACTAGTTTTAATTAAGATGAATGTACCCCTGAATGCGACGCCGAACTTTCATTTGCGGAAGTTTGCGTGTCCGCTTGCTGTGTAGAGAGACGTTCATCTAGGCTACAGTGGGTCATATCTGTGAAGATGCGTGTTGCAGTAGCGAAGTGGTAAAATGAATATGTTGTTCAACAACCCGATGCATTTACACTTATCCGGTTGCTTCTGGGACGTGTCTCAGACCACCTTCTGAAGTGTTTTGCGAGATCGGATTGCAATCCGTCTCGAATGCATTTCGGACCAGTCCATTGTTTTTCTTTCTTTCTTTATTTTATTATTATTATTATTATTTAGCCGGGTCATGCGAATTATCAGGCCCACCCACTCTTTTAGAGACCCACCCGCCAACCACTTTCTGTCTCCGCCACTGGGCTGAATTGAGAATTGAATACTACTATGCTTATTATTTATAAATAGCAAATATATTTAAATATTAAGAGTAGTATGATATTCCTAATCCAGCCTTAATTAACGACGCTTCATTCTCAAATCACTGAGTAGGAAGGAAGTCAAGTGCTTCAAAATGAAGTGACTTGAACGAGAAATATTAATGATTCATTCGAAGCTGAATGATTCATTAACTTAAATGATTCGATCAAAATGGAAACTGCTCGCCAGCAGTCAATTCAAACCCAAATCTACTTTAAATTAGGTGGTGTTTTAAGTTATAAATTTCGTTTATTCTTTTTATACGTTGTTTTATTTAGTGCATAATGAAACCAGCGATTACTTATTTTATAATGAAACCCGATTTTAAGGAATGAAAGAATAAACATGCTGTCTACTTTTAAAGTTAAGTATATAATAGCGTTACTGCTCTACCTTGCATTTGTCCACATTGCAGGTGTCCACGCATGCATCTCTTCCAAAGGTCATGAAACGTTGCATAACAGGCAGACAACTTATATGTATGAATGGTCCATTTTATGGGAAGCTGATAACACAAATCAATCTCAAATCCAGCTATGGTGTAAGTACAGAACAGATTTGTCCATGCAAATCTAACACATAAACGTCTTACCTATCACAATATCGCAAAGCGAAGGCAAGTCGTAAGTGACGAGCATAAATCTTAGAGTGCACCGAGAATAACAACGTTGAAGTGGGATTGGAGGAGTCACAGATAGAGGGGCCCATGGAGAGTATCTAAAATGTCATCCTGTTGGCAGTTTAGGACAACCCCCTCCTGTTTGACCTCATCTGCCACTGAGAAGATGGTGTTGACAGGGAAACCCACCGCTCCTCTCCCTTCAAAGAGCCAGTTAACCGCTTTCCATACACGTATCACACCCAGCGAGCAATTTTGCGTTTAAAAGACGTCTATTAGCCGTCTAAACACAGCCCAGACGTTTAGGCTAAAACAAGGCTAAATTTGGGCTGTCAGTGAAAATTTAATATACGTCTAATCATAGCCTTCTATTCTAATATCTTTTAGAGCTGCTTGGATTCAACTCACTTTTAATTTTCCTTTTATTTTAAAGAAAATATTAATTATTGGTTTTATTTCTTGTTTAAAATGCTTCCCAACTGCATTCCTCAAGTCCAACTCTGTTGCTGCCGGGAAGTTGGTCATCCCAGCATCTGCCAAATAAGAAGAAAAAAATAAATAAAAAAAAGCACAAGAAAAGCTTGACATAATTTTTTTACTTTAATTGCACTATTTGTGACAGGGAGTCATTCCTTTTTGCTTGGATGCCTACTAAAAACAAAAACGAGATATATATAGTGTATCACCATTGAGTGTGTTAAAAAAGAGAGAAGCTCTCTGGTAAATGTTGTGTGTTTTATACACATACCTCTGATGACCGAGAACAGTGCAGTCTTTTCTTTCTCCTCTTTCTGCAGTGGACCACCCCCCTTCATTTTGAATTTGGACATGAGGGAATTTTTTTAAATATAATACAGATTGAGGTGGTTAACAATTGAGGACAACGTTTGACATTTCAAAATGACCAGTAAAGGAATTATTTTTTAAATTTCTGATTTGTGTTATAACTTGTTGAGTATTGACACCACAATGTTTGATTAATGTGGCAAGATTTGTAGGCTTTACCTGTCCAGCATCCTTCTGGCACTGTCTTTGTGGTTTCTTCCTTCAACTCTGCACAACTTTGACACCTGAATAACACATGCCAATGTCAGGCGGGTAGTATTATATGCGTCCGTGTACAAGTGTTTACCAACCTTAAACATTGATGCCCATTGACCTGCAAGTTTTCCATCACTAACCCTTTAAAACTCTTTATTCCAGCAGTTTAAGTTTTTCCCTATTAGTGCCCCCCACAATCTGTCTCTGCCTCCAAAATTGTCTGAAAAGTAGCCCCGTACAAACATTAACCTCAAACGTACATGGAATAATAAATTCACCCCCTACCGTTTTATTACATAATGGTTTTTTTTGTTTGTTTAGGTTTTAATGCTGCATTGCACATCTGAGCTATTTGCACTATTTTAATACTGCTGCAAACTTTTTTTATAATTGATAATTTTATATTGCCATTTTAAATCATTTGTATTCTTAAGCTTTACTATCAATTTGGAAGTTTCAAAATAAATCTTTTATGTTTTCGATTTGTACTGTTTAGGTTTTAATGCTGCATTGCACATCTGAGCTATTTGCACACTATTTTAATACTGCTGCAAACTTTTTATAATTGATAATTTTATATTGCCATTTTAAATCATTTGTATTCTTAAGCTTTACTATCAATTTGTACGTTTCAAAATAAATCTAATTGTACTTGTACAATGACAAAGATATTCTATTCAATTAGCTATAGAATATAATAGATAATAGAATAATAGATATAGCTATTCAATGCTCTCTCTGTATCTAACAAGCCATTGTTCAGTCATAAATTCAATATAATAATTAAAATAAATGATGTCAATGATGACTTTGTCAAAGATGAGAGCTTTAGTGAGGAAATGTTGTTTTGGAGAGTTTTTTTTTGTTTGTTTGTTTGTTTTTTACCATTGCTTTTCCAGATGTTGAAACTCCTCAGTTTCTCCAATTCTTCTGAGTGTGTTCACTGTATAAATTAATATGGATTAATCTTTGTCAAAGCTGTGTTTGTTCCGTTGTTTGCTCTTTCGCCTCTTCTTGCGCTGTTTTAAAATCG